GTTCAACACACTTTTATCAATAATAAAGTTTTGATTATTGGTTTTTTGATATACCACTTTAATTTATATGTAATGTCGAAGGAAGGATTGCAGTAATATGATTTTCCTCGTTAAATTATGCACCGACTTCATATGCACTTTTTAAAACGTGATGCGTATTGATCCAAGAACTGTAATTGGTGTCCTCTTGGAGACGACTATTTCTCAAATAATCGTTCTATTTTATACACCGTAAGCGTTCGATTGGCATTAAGCGACGTTAATTTGGAGATAAAAAAAAATTGAATGGATGTTTTCGCTCACTAAGGTGTCTTCTTAAAAACGATACAAAGTTTTGTAAGAAAAGTCAACTTTAATTGCGATATAGGCTATTTTCGACATTACGTATATACAGTAATGCATTAAAGGATATGATTTTGGATCTTACACTTCGAGAAAACTGATTTCACAAATATATTATTAAATTTTGCACATACAGATTTATGATATTGTATTTTGCTTGGTATGAAAAATAACAAAGAAAAAGAAAATTAACTTAAAATATATGAGTGTTTATTGATAGGAAAACATCACAAGGATCATTGGCCTCGACGGTAATCCTGTCGGTATCCTTGAGGATTACCCTGAGGATTACCCTGAGGATTACCCTGAGGATTACCCTGAGGATTACCCTGGGGATTACCCTGAGGATATCCTGGAGGAGGAAAATTTCCTTGCGTCGGACGTGGAGTTGGCATTGGGACTGGCATCTGCATGATGGGAATGGGATTATCATATTCTGGTGTAGTAGAAGGGTAAATTATCGGGCTTGTTCGCATTTCTCCATACGTTGGCTCATGCGGAGTAAGTGATGGCAGTTGTGTGCTATGTGTAACGGCCGTTTCGCTATGAAATGAACTCGGAGGTGGTTCACTATGAAATGAACTCGGAGGTGGTTCATTATAAAATGAACTCGGAGGTGGTTCACTATGAAATGAACTCGGAGGTGGTTCACTATGAAATGACTCCGGTTCGCTATGAAACGATCCTGGAGGTGGTTGGCTATGGACTGTTCCTGGTGTCTCGCTATGAAATGATCCTGGAGGTGGCCTTTGGTTATCGACACCGTGTGACAAGGTTTCTGGAGGTTTTACGGAGGAAGGAGCTTTTTTACTTTTTTTGGATGGACTGACTTTCGATGAAGAGGCTCCACCCATAAATGGATTATCGTTCAACTTTGGGTGTAACTTTTCCTTTTTCCAACACATCCAGATCAACGCCCCTCCAATCATTAAAAGAATTAATCCAACGAATATAACAATAAGAACCATGATCGCGACCTTTGCACTTTGGTTGGAAGAATATAATGGAGCAGGTGGGCTACAGAATATATGCAATGATAGTGTTAAAATTACGAAAAATTTATTTAAAGATCAGAACCGCTGTATCGTTAAAATTCATGTAGACCTTTTAGCAGTAAAGGTTACACCGTTTTTTACACATCCGCTTTGATAGTCCGACAAAGGCGCGATACTAAAGTTGGTCGTGGGTGTCACATAACATGTCAGGCATGCCGTAATGTTATTATAAAATGGTTGATTACATTGGCAAGGAGCCAATTTAGTATCTAAAAAAAATTTTTTTATCAAGTATATTTTTGAACTTCAAAAAAAAAACTCGGGAAAATCGTTACTACCCGTGATCGTGAAAAAGAATTGAGATCACGTACCGTTTACATTATAGACCGAACCGTTTAAAGGCGGCCTAAAACTTCCACCGCATTGTGCTAACGACGAATTCACAGTTTTACAAGGATCGTTAGCCGTGCCACAAGAATCGCTTTTATTCTGACCAAGGGCGCCGGTGCTTCCAACAAGTATTAGAAAAATCAATACACACAATTTGTATATTGACATCTAAGGTTTTTTTTTTTGACCGCAAGGAAAATCGTATACATTTAATATAAAGCGTTAACGACTTCGTGTAATAACAATTGATCATTAATTCATTTAATTACCTTGAAGGAAAAGTGGCTTTGGTATTAGAGTGAAAACAATTAATTTGCGAGTCCTCAATATATAGAATTATCTATTGTGGCTTAACATCGATAATGAATTCGGGCATTTAAGTATAATGTAATTTATATTGATCACTGATTCATGTCGAGTTTAATGATATCGTATAAACATCGATCGATCTGTTTCCGATAGATCTCGGATACATAATTAAATGGTTACATGATTTGTCTGAAAAATCTGGACGCGATATTTTATGTGTATATACAATCTCACGAGAACGAATCTAATGGTAGAAATATTGTTTCTAAATAACGCAATATTATGGTGATTGTTCGACCGATTAAATATTTGATCCCACAACACAAAATATGCAAAATAAGAATTGGCTGTTAGACATCCATCCGTGATATCGTCAAGAGCTTCATGTTATATAACACAAATTCAAGTTTTTGAAAGCTGAGCCTTCAAAACTGATCGCAAGCCTTTTTGGTTACCTGTCCAAGCACATTTAACAAGATTTAATTCGGGTACTAATGCTAAGTAGAGTAGATCGAAAAATTTGATGAGCCACTTGTGATCATAATAACAACATACTGTATACAGTAGTGTTTTGATGTTTTTCGAATTTCATATTTGATTGGCCATATGGCATTGAAATTTATATCTAAATTTCCTTTATATAACCCAACAAATATAAATTTCACCATTTTATATAAATTCATATATTAATTAATATATGATTGTATGTTAAAATAGAAAAAAAAAATTTTATTTATATTATATTTTATTAATTATTAAAAAAATGTAATTGATGAAAAAATATTTACAAAAAAGTTTGCCAATATATTATATATTATTATAAGCCATGCAATAGGTTTTTATTGCTCATGTATAATGCAAGTTATATAACCAAATCTTTTCTATTAAATTTTATATACAAGATATTTAATATTAAATATAATCAAAGTGATTTTGTTATTTCATATTTTTATAAAATTTTTTATTTATTCTTATTAATAATAATCTAGCATATTAAAAATAAATAAATATATAAAAAAAAACTTTTTTGTGATTATAACTAATTACTTTTTTTTATAGAAAAATATAGTACAAAGCAATAACCATTTATAAAAAATTTTTATATAAAACTAAAGATCAAAACAATTTTTTTTTAATTACTTTATTTGATAATTTATACAGTAACTTTATTTGGTTATAAAGTCTTTTTATATTATTTTTATTTGTATAATTAATAAAATTTTATTACAATTTTTTTATTAATATTAAAAATTTATTCTATTATTTTGAAATATTGAAAATTTATTTTAATAATATTATATTAATATGATTAAAAATAAATCATCAGTTTTTATTGTTAACACTTATATTTTATATTGTTTTAAGAGTATTTATAATTTTTTAAAAATTTTAATTTAATTTTTTATTTTTGTTTTATATATGAAATTGAAACTTTCTTATGTATATTTTTATAATAAATTTTAATAAATTTTATTTGTTTCTTTTTCTTTTTATTTTCTGTACATTTATTATTTATTGATAATATTAGATTTTTTATATATTTTTATTATATTTTCTTTTATACTTATATTATAAGCAATTTTAATTCTATTAACCTTTTTTGTTTTTGTTTTCATATTTCTTTATTATATTTCATAGAATTAAAATCAGAACAATTTAATAATATAATTTTATTCTTTTAAAAATATTTTTTCTTAAAAATTTTTTGATTAACTTATTTAAATATTTAAAATTATTGTCTTGTTAAAATTCTTTTTTTTTAATTTGCTTATATCTTTTATACATAAAATTGTATTTATTTTTTTAACATAACAATAAATATTTTTTTCTTTTAATAAAAATTATTTTTATATAATAATGTTTTTAAATAATTAAAACAAAATTTTATTTATAAATTTTATTTGTAATCAATTATTATTAAGATTTTCTTTGGTTTATTTTATTTTTTTTTATTTATATTATTAATTAATAAAATATTACTAATAAAAAATAAAAAATAAATTTTATTTTATAAAAATATCTTTTTATAATACTTGAAAAAACTTATATATCTTGTTCTTTTAATTTTAATAATAAATTCTTAATAGTTTTATATAATTTTTTTTAATATTCTATTCAATAATTTTTAATTATTTCTTATTAATTTTTTTTTATTTCTTTTTTATAAATAATTTTTTATTTTTTTATTTTTTGTAAATTATAATAAATTATAAATAATTTAATCTGATTTTTTTTATATATTTTAATAATTCTTATTTCAATATTTCAAAAATACTAAACAATAATTTTTTTTTAGTTTTTAAGTTTTTAATTATTATAAATAATTTTTTTAATATTTTTTTATAATATATTAATATCTTTTTTATTATTTTTTATTTTAATAAAAAAATTTTTTTTAAATATTTTTTTATGTTTTATAAATATTAATTAAATATTTTTTATTATTTCTTTAAATATTATATTAATTTTCTTGTTTTTTATAATCCTATTATTGTTGTTTTGAAAAAACAAAATTAAAATTATATTAAATTTTAATTTACAATAAATAAAATATTTCTATAAAATAAAATAAAATAAAAGATTTAAATAAATATCAATAGAAGTTAAAAAAAAATAAAATTTATAATTAAATATATATTAAAACTTTTAATTCCTTACTTAACAAACTTTAAAATCATTAATAAAAATAATTTCAACTTTTAATGATTTAATTTATTTAATATAAACTTTAAAATTATTAATAAAAATAATCTTTAACTCTCGATAATTTTATTTTATTTAATATATGATTTGTTTCAAACAATATTAAATAAATTAATATAAATAATAAAATTATTATTTTATATTAACTTTATAATTTGCTTTAATATTGAAATTAAAAAAAAATAATATATAAAAATAAATTTCAAAAGAAAAAAAATAAACATATAAATACTGTATATAAATATAAAAATATTATAAGATAATATAATAATTTAAAATATTTATATTATATTTTAATTGTTTTTTTATAATTTATTAATTAATTTTAAATTGCTTTATTGTAAATATTTATATATTATTCATCTATTTTATATAAAAAATAGTCAAAGAATTATTTTGTTATACTTGAAATAATTATTAATATAATCTTTATCTATAAGTTAAATATAATATAGATTTCATTATTATTTCTTTTATTATACTTTTATATTTCTTTATTTTAATTTTAATTCTTTGATTATTCTTTTAATAATCTATATTTTTATTTTTTTTTTATATATTGTTATAAGAAAATTATAGTAAGTCGA